GTTTAAAATTTAAACCGGCGTCAAACGCCGCTTTCTTTTTCAGAATAGAATTTACCTTTTGGTTCACCAATATCCCCTCACTGTAGCTTCAATCTTGATTATCTCAGTTCTTATGAAAGATAGCAGAAAACAGTCAACTGATAAAATGCTCCAAATGTCAAGAAAAACATTTTGGCAGTTGACGGTTTGATCATATGTTTCACAAGAAGTCAGATAATTGATTTTAAAGGGAGAGAATGGTAATTATAAAATGTTAGAATAGGCTTTCCATGACGGGCGGGTAGCGAACGGGTAGTGCTACCCGCCCGTACCCGTACCCGCCAGCTACCCGCCCGCTTGCTACCCGGATGTTATTGTTATGTTAGAACGAATTTGGTATTTGAGAAGTTACCACTAGTCTTCCATCAATAGTTTTTGTGATTATGTCTGGATCGAGGTTTAGTTCAGAAGTATTTGTTTAGGTTTTTAGAATTTAAAGTTGTAAACTTTGATTTCCGGGACTTCCGAATTCAGGTTTCAAAAAAACTACGAAGTTCGGAGATATTGAAATTTTAAATTTCAAAAGTTTAGGAATTAAGAAATTTTTCGTTCAAAAATATAAAGCATGACAGTATAGAAACACCGAAAATAGTTCTTAAAAAATATGAAAATACTGAAATTAGAAGGAAATTCAAAAATTCTTGAATCCTGAAAATTCGAAGTTTGGAAATTTTTTAGAAAACATTAGAGCTTCATGAAATCTATACGTTTTTAAAATCGCACAAATCATAGACTTTTTGAAATTCTAAAATTTCGAAAAAAAAATTCAGAACTTTCAGACACCAGATTTTCAGAATTTCAAACATAATTCCAGAAGTAATCAAAATTTTCAAACGTCTAAAATATCATTTTTCATTCCATTTCATTGTTTCGGATCATCAGTCGTTTTTTTTTTAAATCTTTTCTCTATGAAGTATTTTCTATTGAAAAATTCGTCTTTTAAAAAACCGGCGTTTGATGCCAGTGAAAAATTTTAATGGCGATTCACGCCGCTCTAAAAACTGGCGCTGGCGGCCAGTGCAAAAATCAAAAGCAGCGCCATTTTGGCCGGCCTAGATGGAACTTTGAAAATCTTCGATTGTTTTCAAAAAGTAATAGAACAAAGAAACTGCGAGACCAAGAAAACCAACTGAAGATTTTTATCGAATTTCACTGTTTCAGAAATTCTGCTTATGAGGAAAAACCACTCAAATTACATTTACACTATCGACATGATAACAATTTTAAATGAAAAAAGTTTCAATTCATATCATATCAATTTATAAAGCAAACTAGACTTTTAAAATAGGCATGTTTGTAACGGGCCGGGCCGGGCCGGGCCGGGCTTTCTCCGGCGGACCGTCATTTCACAAGTTTCCAAATTTTCAAACCCTTATGTGATTTTTTTTTCATTAAAAAACAAAAAACTTCAGAAAGGTATTTACAATTTTATTGAGTAGTTAGAAAATCGATAGCTACCGTAAACACTCTAGTACAACGCCACCCGAATCGTCAACTTTGAGCTCCTATATCTCATTTTCTGTGAGAGATGTTAGAAAGTGATCAACTGATAAAATGTTTCAATATCTTTCAAAAGATGTGAGATATAAAGACCCAAAGTGGAAGGTCCGGGTGGCGTTCTATTAGAGTGTTTACGTAAAAACTCTATGAAAATTTATGACATTTTTAAATCCATATGGCGTTTTACAGAGATTAGAAGTATATTTTTTCAAAATAGTTTTTGAATGAAATGCTGCAATGTGTTTCAATCGTTTCATTTCACATTCAAGAATCTTTGAAATAGCAATAAATTTGTAGAACTACAAAATTAAAATTATTCTTGAAACAAAAAATACTGTTTCCAATATTTGAAATCTTTGATTTCAATTTTTATAGAAAACGGACCAGAGCCCAAAAATGAGGGTACCGTAACATCTATCCTCATTGTTTACATAGATCGGTTAGGTGACAAGGATGGATGTACTGATCCAATTAGTGTTAATTGATAATCCTTTATTTTTTAGTAATTATGCTCCTATGTTGCGGTAAAGCAAGCACACAGTCATATTATAAGACTTGTGTAAACTCCTGTGAAAATTTGCTCAAAATAACTAAAGATAATATTAGAAAATTGTCATAAATTGTCTAGAACCAAAATTCAACATTTTCTGAAACGGCAAAATTATTTTTTGGGAACAAAAAAATGCTGTTTCAAATCTTGTATATTTTAGAATTAAAGAATACGGAACGATTCGTGAATAACAACTTTGAGCCGCGCTTATGTAGACTATCGGTCGTCAGACGCCTTCGCACCCCGTAGCTCAGCCGGTAGCGGCGCTGTACCCCTGAGCTGCCTGTCATGAGTTCAACCCCTCATGGGGGTTCTCTATGCAAAATATCAGGAAAACTTTTTTTTTTTTTGGTGTCTAGGCCTCCTTTTAAAGATAATGAAAATTTTTCACCTGATAGCGTTTTTTTAGTTGACTGTTTTTTGATATCTCTGATAGGAACAGAGATAGTTGAGCTCAAAGTTTACAGACATAGACTGGATCCAATAAACAATTAATAAAGCTTCAAAATGACCCGTTTTTTTTTGAAACTGCAATTTTTTTGTTCTTCACCTTCTCACACTTTGTCTGTTTTTGTTTGTCTAAGAAATTTGCCGCAAAACGAAAAGATTAACATTAATTGGATGAGTACATCCATCCTTGTCATCTATCCGATTCTCAGCAAACAATAATAGGATCTCTGGTACTAACCGCGTAGCTCAGATCAGTGTCAAACATCCTATTTCTATCTTTATAAAGCTTGATTTATTGACAAAAATTCAAACATCGCGTTAGTGATTTCGAATGATTAAGCCACGCCCCGTTTGGCAAAAGCGCCGCACAGTTTTTCCAGGTTTTCTCACCTAATTTTGTTCAAGTTGAAGAGAAAAAATAGTTTCCAAAAAGAAGAAAGTCTCTGAAAATCTTGAAAAATGGCAATAAGAGCAAAAATGTGCGGCGATTTGGCAGAAAGGGGGCGTGGCTTAATTATTTTGTAAGCAACTCGGTGAGGCGGCGGCAAAAGTATTGGTTGTCGGAATTCGAAATTATAGTTTTAGATATTTTTGAAACTGCAAAAGAATGAACGAAAACTTTAAGTCTAAATTTGTCTGAGATTGGCGAAATCCAAAAAAAAAACGTCCAAGTTTTATTTTGCACAGTTTTTTACCAAGTACAGTACCCTGGCAAAAAATATATCTGTAATAAAAGGGCTACCTAACCTTCAACTTTGAGCCAATTTTTCTCATTTTCTGTGAACGATATCAAAAATTTGTCAACTGATAAAATATTTATCATAATATCATCAACATTTTATCAATTGGCACATTTTTGATATCTCTTACAGTAACCGAGATAAATTAGGCCAAAGTTGACACAGGTTTTACGGTAAATAATATTTTGACTGTTTCATTGGAAAATTACCAATTTTAGTCTTCTGCGATATTTTGTTCGAATTAGCAATAACCCCAAATTCAAAGACGTATACACTAGTTTTACAACTCGCATGTCCTTTTACGGTACATCAATCCTTATTGGGGGGGGGGTCGTAAAATTGTCAAAAGATTCTTTTGACGACTTCCCAAGAGCAAAATGCGGTGCTCTTTTTAGAAAGATGTCAAAAGATGTGCCTATTCTTTCGAAGGGTTACGGTAGCAGATATCAAGCAAACAATTTTCGATGAAATTCATTTTAGGCAAAAAACTTATGAAAATTTACGTTTCAAAAATTTTACATAGCTTTTCAAAAAAACAAAGCCTACCAATCATTTGATTATGTGATACCAAAATTTGACTCAATTTATCTCATTTTTTGTGAGAGATATCAAAAAGTGGTCAACTGATAAAATGTTTAACAACATATTAGAATCATTTTATCAGTTGACAACTTTTTGATATCTTTTATAGGAACCGAGATAATTAGTTTTAGAGGTGGAAGATGCAGGACATAGATAGAATAATTGAAAGTTTAGAAGAAATTTGAAACAATAATAGTTTTTCGAAAAATTTTTATTAAATTTCAGAAAGCTTTTGAACAACAAAATAGTCACAAAACAATTGAAGAAGTAAGAAATTGTTCTAAGAAAAGTAAGATTCGATTTTTAGAAATTACTGAAGTACCGTATAGCTTCGAAAGATCTGTCATTCCAATACTGGAACTTTAAGCTTAATCATCTCGGTTCCTATGAAAGATATCAAAAAATGGTCAACTGATAAAATGTTTATCATAATATCACAAACATTTTATCAATTTACAAATTTTGGATAACTCTCAAAGGAACCGAGATAATTGAGCTAAAAGACATGCCATTTCGAGAATAGCTTGAAATTTTGAAAAATCGAAAAAGGAAAAAAGGAACATTTTGAGAATTTTTCTAATTTTCAATGTGCTGACAAAATCATCAGTTGAAAACTGATTTGAAAAATCGTTTCGAAAAAAGTGGGTAATTTTTGAAACGGCAAGAAAAATTTCAAAGAATTCGAATTTTTTGGAACTTTTGAGTTAGCTTAGCTACCCTGTAAATTCTGTTCAAGTACAGGTAGTAATGACCTTTCTATTACGAAAATGAAGGATATGTGCCTTTAAAAAAATGATATGCGCCTTTGAATAATCCTTTTTTTCAAAATTTAGCTGCTAAAAAGCTCATATTACTGATCTACGAAAGATACTCAAATTCAAATTTTTAAACTCATTTTTTAAGAGAGTTTATTCTCTTTTATCTTATACAATGAATCTATAAATGGGTGTTTTTTTGAATGTTATTACCCCACATCCATTTTTATGGTCCCCCTTGCCTCCTGGGAAAAAAGAGGCGGAGCCTTACTTGCAACGGGCACAACAGAAGGCATGGACAGCCCAAAGGGTATTCATTTATTGTTTTAGTATCCAAACTTTTTTGAAATAAATTTTTTTTCAAATTTTCGAATTTTTCAGATTATGGACCACACCAGGAAACTCGAAAAATCCCAAGCCAAAAAAGAGAGGTGCCGTCACAAGGAATTCAAGCGTGGGAAGAATATCAATGAGGCATTTGACACTCTTCAACAGTGAGTTTACTACTGTAGTTTTGCTCAATTGGGGTCTAGAATTTTGAAGTTTTGTGGGATGCTGGAACATATAATTTACAGTATTCTTGCCAACTTTTAATTGTCTAGAGCTATTTTGAACGTATTTACAAGGGTGTTTCGTAAATCTTATTCATCTCGATTTCTTTAAGAGATAACAAAAACCTGTTGGCTGATAAATTGTTTATCACCAGCCTTCTGTTTGCTGTTTGCCGCGCCTCCGGCGCTTCACAATTCAAGCATTTTCAATTATTCGTCGCTCCACTCCTCACTTTTCGATTTTTTTTCTCACGCTGTAGAACATCTACGCCCTCCCTCCCCTCTCCTGGTGTGGGCCTCATGGCGCAGCTGTGTGCGGCTATTGTGCGGAAGGCCGCGTGTTCGGTTTTGGTGGCGGTCAACCTTTCATTTAAAAACCGAAAACCGGGCAGCCGGACACTAGGACTAACAGACGCGTCTAGCGTTTTATATATAAGAAAGATAATATCAGAAACATTTTGTTAGTTATCAACTTTTTGTTATATTTTATAGAAATCGAAATAAATTGGCTTAAAGTGAATTGGAGCACTTTTAATGATAATTTTTTTCAAATATAAGACGTCCATAACCATAATGAAGGAAATTCCAACAGTCCCAGAATTTTAAAATTTTAACTAACCAAGTTTAGTTTCCAGACATATCCCATTCCTTCGATCCGATGAGAGAAAATCGCTTTCAAAAATCAAGGCGCTTCGTTTGGCGAAAAAATATATTGAGCATTTGACACAACTGGCAGAGGGTAATCAAATGGTGAGTACTGTAGTTTGATCGTTCCAGATTTAACTTTGAGTCAATTTATCCGGGTTACTGTAATAGATATCAAAAAGTGGCCAACTAACAAAATGTTTTTGGTTTTATGATTCAAATTTTATTAGTTGACCACTTTTTGGTATCTTTTACAGGAACCGAGATAAATTGGGTCAAAGTTGAGAGTCCTGGGAACCCTGAAAATTTTACACTTGCAATATTTTTGCTGTTTCGAAATTTGCAGACTCTTCGCTTTACCTAACCAGGGAGCTGGCAAATTGACGGACTTTTCCAAAGTCAAAAAATTAGTGGAAAATTTTAAACAATTTCTAACAGAGAAATTAGAATTAAGCCTAACTGCAACTGAAATTAAGATTTTTGAAACAGACATTTTCATTGAACTCACCGGTAAACCTCTGAGCCTTTAAATTTGAGCCAATTCATCTTTGTTACTGTAAGAGATATATAAACATTTCATCAGTTGACAACTTTTTGATATCTCTGATTGGAACCAAGATAAATTGGGTCAACATGAAGAGACCGGTTGTTTGTTCAAGCTGAAACTTCTGGAATATTTTTTGCTGTTTCAAAATTCAATAATTTTCTGCTTTACCTAGTATTGGAGCTGCATTATCAAACGACAATCCGGAATTCAGAACAAAAGTTATAGGCTCCTTTTAATCAATAAAAAAATGTCCCAAAATCCCGCAACTTCTCTTATTTTCCAGGCGGACCCAGTATCCAACGAGACGCGTCCTCTGGAATTGACAGATTTCCGACAAGTGGTGACAGATGAGATGAGAAGCAGAAATAGTTATCGAGAGAGGGCATTCTCTGAAGAAATGGAGCCAGAAGCTGTTCAAAGGATTCTGACGAGAGAGCAGAGACGCAGGCGTTTTCCGATGGAGGTCAAAGGTGGGTAGTGGGGAGACGTTAGTCATTTTATCTAGGTTACTGTCAGAGATATCAAAAATTTATCAATTGATAAAATGTTTTTGAAAATTCCATGAACGTTTGGTTAGTTGATTACTTTTTTATATCTTTTACAGGAAACGAGATATTCGAGCTTAAAATTGAAGGTCTAGTTTGCGACCGCATTGCTCATTGGACAGCAGAGCTTCAACTCAATTTATCTCGGTTACTGTAGAAGATAACAAAAAGCGGTTATCTGATAAAATGTTTTTGATATTATGATGAACATTTTGTTAGATGACAACTTTTTGATATCATTTACAGGGAATGAGATATTTGAGCTCAAAGTTGATGGCTTGGGGGAGTCTATTAGAGGGGTTATTTAAAAAATTGGTTAAATATCATCGATTTTAAAACTCTACGAAAGTATCCCAAAATTTTCAGATTTGCCTGAAAATTTCAGAGTTTCTTAAACAAAAATAGAGCTTCATTTTTGTGATAGACCACTTTATTCTCGCTACTGTAGTTTTCGAGATATGCGCTTTTAAACTTGCTTTTAAATTTCCAGTTATAAGTCTTCAAAGTTTGAAAGGCGCATATCTCAAAAACTGATGTAGCTGGAAAAAAGTTGTCAATTACAAAAATGAAGCTGTATTTTTGTTTAAAACGTTCTGAAATTTTCAGACAAAATGAAAAATTCTAGGTTGCTTCTGCCGGGTTTCAAAGTTACCTGTTTTCTTAAAATGCCTCAAAAATTCACTGTTTCAAAAAAATGAATTGTTGAAACAACAAAAACAAATTGTAATATCCAAATTGTTTCTAAAAATGTCCTTCCGGATATCTGATGAGTTACCGTAATCCCTGATACCATTTCAAGTCTAAATTTTTCAGATCATCAAACCCCTCAAACCCTTCAAAACCATACTCCTGCTCCTCAATTTAATGTCAATCAATACAACGTCCAGCATATGACTGTCCAAGCCCCCATGATGATGGTACCCCATATGGTACCATATATGGAAAACAACAATTATCATTATTATCAGACAACAAATCAAATAGGGAGTTATTATTATCACTGATAATGATAATGATCTAAATTTGTCATATTTAATATTTGATTTTTTAATATTTTTTGTTTAATAAAAATTATTTTTTCCAATTTCCAAACTTTTTGAAATTTCAAAAATCCCACCCATGAATTATTCATATGTCACTAACACCACATGGTGACCTTCCTCTTTCAAAAATTTGACACATTTCCCCCTTCTTTTTGTCGGAAAGTCATAAGTCGCCAACGTTTGCACCTGTCACTTTGAATCCACTTTATTTTTGGCTCCGCCCACTTTTGATGGGGAATTTTTTTTTAATTTTGAAACTCTTCTATTATATTCTATAGTTATTCCATTTGGCACCGTGTGTTTAGGAGCCTAAATATGATTTTTCTGAAAATTTATATGTCCCTTTAACCAACAAATTTCTGTGCTATCACTTTGACCACAAATTGCCACTATGGCAAAACTTGGACCAATACGACAAATTGGAGATTGTGATGCGTCAAGAGAGGGGACCCCGAATAGGCAGAGAGATTGATTTACTATACTGAAGAGGACAACACATTTTGAATAGAAAAGCTATTAGCTGGACTAGAATGGATCTGGATACTGTCACAGCAATTCTGAGTAAGCAATTTAAATTTTTTTTGTTTTCATATTATTTTTTATTTACTGTTTTTAAGATCAACGAGAAGCTGTTCCATCCTGAGCATCTGTATCAAATCTCGAGTTCGACGTACACCATCCACAAAAATGTCTGTAGGAACTAGCAGAGTCCGATGCATCTCAGTTACAATGCAGCTGACTCAATGACCTATATACAGTATGCGCGACTCCAAACGACAATTGGTCTCCACATTCAAAAATTGCATAACGCAAATTGGTGACTACTATAATGCTCTACTCGCAAGCTGTCAAGAAACCTATTTCTGAGGATTCATTTGATGAATTCCCAATAGGTGCAATTAATTCCCTTTACCCGCGAGGAGCTTTTCGAGAGAAAAAAAAAACCATCTTGGCCAATACGCCACCCCACCACAACACCAACCACCATTCGATGAAGATATGGAGAACTTCGAGCTGAACTTCCCTATTGCTAATAGCACACCTATTGCTACCCCAATCAAGAAAACCAAGGCTATGAAGGGTAAGTCAGGGACCGGAAAACTCTGCCCAAAGTTTTCATACTTCTCTTCAATTTATCTTGAAATTATAAAAAGCAGGAGAACCTCTGCTCAAATTTTGTCTTTTTAGTGTCACAAAAGGCGATCATGTTGAACGCCAAGAAAAGACGTCTGGCAAGACGACAAGAGAACCTCCAGAGAATTGAAAGGGAAGAAGAGAGAACATGTTACAGACGACGGAGATAACGAATTCTATTTTGCAGGCATATAGCCTTAGTACGGCCCCTTGAGACACGATAACCTAAAGAGAGAAAAAGACAACAAAACACAGAATTTAAGACACCGATTTATTACTTATAAATGCCTACAAAGATACACCTGAAAGAATCCGTTGCCGGATTCAATCTGCCGACAAGAAAATTTACACCAGAATATTAGAAAATAATAATGGGAGAAATCGAAACAAGACGGAGCAAAACTAAAAACGATACGGGAGGTCCTAAAAACCCAAAATCAGGCGCGTTTCCTTGGTGCGCGGCGAGACCGAGTTAGATCAGTAGGTACAGTAGTCCGTCGGCGGCAATTCAAATAGCATCGTTGTTGGGCGGCGTCGGTATTGGTGAATAAAATATGTAAACTGAAGGGAAAAAGAGGAGAATTCATTCAGAAAAGGGTAAAAGTCGTGAAGAGGTGTTCTTCAGACACCTGGATTCGCGACAAATTCCAGAAGACAAAGTTTCCAACCAAGAAATGAATGCGCGTCTACCGAAGATTCACAAAAGAGCCTCAATTGAAATACTAGAATTCTAAACATATGTATATTCTAAATTTCAATTCAATTGCTTTGGCCGATTAATAAATGTTATAAAGTGTACCAACTGCTGTTGAAATTGTTGTAGAAGGATTGTTTGAACTGAAAGTATGTGTCCTGGTTCAAAAACGCATTATAAAATTTTAAGCCTGTTTGAAACATTAATTTTTAGAAACAGTAACTTTTAGAAAGTGGAAAAATGTCATAAACTTGATTTCAATTTTCCAAAATTCAGAATTTCATTTCGACTAGCCAATGTTTTGTAGAACTTGAAAAATGGACAAAAATGATATACACAAATATATCACAAATCCTTTAAAAAACTAGAAACAGAAAGAATATGCATTAATTTTGGATGGACCAGTATATGTTCACATTCTACCATTTGACCAAACGAACGAGCGCATTTTTGGGGAAATTTCGGATTCCATACTTTCGGCACTCGTTGAAGATCCAAATCAAAATACCAACACCGACAGGCACGAGCCAGCACTGAAATTTTTCACATTTCTCAAATTTTTAACCAAGGTGGATCCAACAAAGACGCATAACTCGGCTCAAACTAGGATTTGCATACTTGTAATCCGGACCTTTCAGGGCGGGCCTGCTTTTTCAGGGGCGGGCCTGCCCGGGACGGGCCTGCTTTTTTTTGCTCCTTTTGCTCTGTCACTCTGTTCATAGACAAGATACAGTATTCCAAATAATACCGTTTTGTAGTACTCGTGGAGCTCTATCATACCTGATTGAGTTGGTTCGAAAACAAAAACTTAAACAAGTTAAATTATGTACCAGTTTGTAGATCTTTTTGAGTTCTATGTTTTAAATTTTGATTATAACTGGAATAGTAACTTTGAACCGAGATATCTCTTGGGTTCAAGCCAATGGGTCAGAAATCGCGCCCCAGTAAACGTGAAATTTTAGAAAAAAACTCGCTGCTGAATTATGTGGCTGAGGATCAAACTTTCAAACGTTGCACGAAAAAATCACGCGTTGCAACTCGTTGATTAAAACTAATTAGGTTAAATCCACGTCAACTTTGAAATTATTCAATTTCTTCTGGCCTAAACGTTATTTGGGGCGCGTTTTTTGACCCGTTGGCTTGAACCCAATGAGATATGCCTTGTATTGTAATTGTAATTTTTTGCAGTTTCATGCCAAATTCAATAGTAGAAAACTTAAAGGTGGGGGGACAGGAGATTTTTCGTAGTTTTTTTGTAGCTAGAGTATGCATTCTACCATCACGGTGTACAACGCTTAATGTCACTCTGCGTACAGCTGTCGTCCTCGCCTTTATGTATGCAATCGGGCGTCCTCGCCTTTATGTATGCAATCGGGCGTGCGCTTTCTCTTTGCCCGCGTGGCTCAGTCGGTAGCGGTGCCGCACCCTCAATCATCGCCCTCACAAGTTCAACTCCTCGAGGGGCATCTTTGAACGGAATTTCGAGAACATTATTTTTTTCATGTCCCCCCACCTTTAAATTACGTACTATTTCGTATGTAGTGTAGGTCTCGTTGAGTTTTACATTTACACTTTGTTTTCTTTGAAAATTCCTATTTTGAGCTTAGTTGAGCCCCTAGAAACATACCTGCCATGGCGGTGGAGCGGATCCAAAAATGTACTGTACTCCTGGTGTGAACGTAAAGAGGCAAATCAGCAACAAATCAATAATCACAGCGAGAATAGCCACAATATTAGCCATTCCATGAGTGAAAATCGATACTCTTCGGGTCAAACACATCCATAAATGCCAAGCCTGTCCAACAACAATCGCAATATGGAACGCTGCAGCCGCCTGGGCAGCCATATGGATTTGCTCATGCTCGCTTAGAATGATTCCAGAATTTGTTGTAAAGTTAGAGGCTTCAACTTTGAAGTAGCTCGCTGCCGTAAATGCCAATTCCCAGGGATTGATCCCATTGAGATAGTAGGAGAGAAGGTATCCAATAACTCCACCAATCGATATGAACATTGACATAAAAAGGTACGTGTACGTTAGCAAGCCCTTGGTCACAAGATGAGTGGTTTGTTTCCGTGGCGGTTGTAGCATGATATCTGCTTCTGGACCTTCATATGCCAATGATACTGCAGGAGGGATATCAGTGATAAGATCGATAGAGAGAATTTGCACTGGGGTTAGGCCTAGAGGGAATCCCAAGAAGAAATTCAACATTACAGGGACTAACTCTGGCCACATATGGGTCATAGTGTAAGCAATAGTTTTTCGGAGGTTGTCAAATAGCAATCGACCCTCCTCGATTCCAGCGACGATTGAAGAGAAGTTGTCATCTAGCAGAATAATATCAGCAGCTTGTTTCGCCACGTCACTTCCTGCTAATCCCATAGCAACGCCCACATCCGCTTTTTTAAGAGCAGGAGCGTCATTGACACCATCGCCGGTGACAGTGACACATTCTCCTCGTTTCTGGGCTTCTGTTACAATCATTAGCTTATGTTCAGGTGTTGTTCGAGCGAAGACAATGTAGCGATGCTCTAGGAGAGCATCCCATTGTTTAGAGTTTAGTCCTGGAAGCTCTGGTCCCGTGATAACCGCCCAGTCTTGGTTTTGGGTCCTTCTGATTGTCTGCTGATGGTTGTCGAAAGTAGTGACCTCTTCAGTTTCAATCATTCCAATTTGGCGGGCAATGGCGGTGGCTGTAGATTTATGATCCCCGGTGACCATGTAGACCTTGATTCCAGCATTCTTGCAAGCCTGGATAGCTCGTTGAGTATCGTCTCTGGGGGGATCCATAATTGCACTCATCCCCAAGAAATCCCATTGATCCATCGGTATTGTTTCAGACTTTACTGTAAACACTGTAGTCGCCAATGCTCGAAATTTCTTGCAAGCAAAACCAATCACTCGACATCCTTCATCTCCAAATGTCTCATAGGCATCGTTGAAGTCCTCCATTCTCCTTGAATCTAGCTTCACTGGTGTTCCTTCGATATTCAATGTTGAACAATTCTTGATTAGCACTTCTGGAGCTCCTTTGATCATTAAAGTGTACTCTACCTCCTCGTTATCCCGTTTTTTCTGCTCAAATCCTTGCCAAGTGCTCTCTGTGATCACTAGCATCAGATGGTACTTTCTTAGAGAGTTGAAGGGGATTTCGAAAACCACGTGGAAGTGATTTCGGACTTCTGTGGCGTCAATCATTCCGGAGGCATAACGAAGAAGTGCAACTTCTGAAGGATTTCCAGAAATCACTAGTTCCTTAGCTGGCTTGTCGTAATAGGCATTGAAATTCAGTTCGGAGTCACTGAAATAAAACTTTGACCTAATTTATCTAATTTTCTGTGAAAGATATCAAAAAATCTGTCAACTGATAGAATGTTTATCACATTATCACAAAATTTTTATTAGTTTACAACTTTTTTATATTTTGAACAGGAACCGAGATAAATTGGCTCAAAGTAGAAAGGTCGGCAGCTGAACGCGTTGCTCAATCGGCAAGCGCCAACTTGAGCCCATATATCTCGATTATTGTAAGAGATATCAAAAAGTGGGCATCTAATAAAATGTTGCTGATGTTATGATAAACATTTTATCAATTTACAACTTCTTGACATCTGTCACAGGAACTGAGAAAAATTGACTCAAAGTTAAAAGCTTGGATCCAGGTCTTACTGTAGAACTTTTTTTTGAAAATCTCTTACATTCTCGGTGGCCGAGTTTTTGTGGTTAAGTTGTTCTCGATTCTGGCCTTGTTGCATACACAAATCACATTCAGAATATCCAAAAGAGGAGTTTGATACCATTCCATTGTGCTCAGCGCGCTCATGTTCCGTTTTCGAGTGGTACGACCGGTGTTCTCGGGTCTTGCTGGAAGATTTGAATATTTTGAAGGGAATTTTTGAACGTCAGCTAATTCAAAATCAAAGTTTGTCTAATAGGACCGAAAATTCCCCCGAAAATCTGTTGAAATTAAAGTTTTTAGGTAATTTTCAGAATTTTGACACCAATGGCTCAGTGGGATTTTGGAGTGCTCAACTACCAATCTGAAGACCCGAGTTTGATTCCACATGGTGGAAAATATCTTTTTATTTGTGTTTTGAGTATTTCAAGCTAGTCTGAGTGAGTGTCTAATGCAATTTTGGGAACTTCTTTTTAATTTGGAAAAAAATGACATATTTTACAAAAAATTGGCATAATATTTTGACCCCATTTATCTCGGTTCCTGTGAAAGATATCAAAAAGTAGTCAACTGATAAAATGTTGAGCGTATTATCAAAATCATTTTATCAATTGACTACTTTTTGATATCTTTTACAGGAGCTGTGATAAATTAGGTCAATGTTAAAGATATTAAACCCCTTCAATCGGGTTTCTGAAATGATATGTTAACTTTGAACCTATTTATCTTGGTTTTTTAAAGAGATATCAAAAGTAATTTACTGATAAAATGTTAAGCGTTTTATCATAATCAATCTTTCAGTTAACCACATTTTGATATTTCTTACAGTAACCGAGATAAATTGGCTCAAAGCACGGTAACAATCTTTAAACAGTTCTATGCGCCTTTAAAGAACCTTTGAACAAGGATATGCGCCTTTAAACAAGCTTAAAACAAATTCATGCGCTTTCAACTAACATTTTCAACCATTAGATAGTTTTTTGCTCTTTTGAACAGCTCTTGAATTACTCTATGAGCCTTTAAACAACCTTAAAACAACTCTATGCTCCTTGAAACTACGGTAACTCAAATTAATGAATTTTTCCCAAAAACTCACCACTATTATACGAGTTATTATACCACAAATCCGTCACAGTCATACAGTTCTTAGTCAGCGTCCCCGTCTTATCAGATGCAACCAGTGTCGTCGCGCCAACACTATCAATCTTCTCCAACTTCTTCAAAAACACATTCTTTTTTGCCATTCGTCTAGCAATAATTGTTAGCTCCGTGGTTACTGTAGTTGGTAGTCCTTGAGGAACATTTGCAATAATAACCATTAAAAATCCAGTGACAAATAGCCGGATCACATCCTTTCCACCATTTACAATAATTCCAATGGTGAAGATTACGGTAGCCATGGAGATGGCCATGATGGTGATGAATTGAACGAAACGCTCGATTTCAGTTTCAAATTTGCACTTTTTATCCTTCTGTCCAAGAGTTAAGGAAGCAATTTGACCGATTACTGTCCTCTCTCCAGTTCGAATCACAATACCGTATCCCTCGCCGTCTACACAGAATGATCCATTGAATGCAATGTTATAAGACTCGAAGATTGTTGTTTGAGCATCAGCGGTTTTTGAATTAAACTCCAATGGCTCAGCTTCACCGGTGATTGAGCTGGTTTCCAGATAGAAATCTGTGCAGGCGATGATTCGAATGTCAGCTGGGACTTTGCATCCGGAACGGACGATTACAATGTCTCCGACGACGAGGTGTTCCGGGTTGAGGACTTGCTAAAGTAGGGGATTTTTAGTTAATGACGTAAGGTTGTAACAATATTACTATTAGACTAACTTTTGTTAAAATTAAGATTGCCGCTCACTAATTTGGTACGGATTTTGTGATAAAACATTACAATTAGACTAACTTCAGTTAAAATTAAGATTTTTTGAAACAGTGATTTTGTTTAAAGGTGGGGTGAAATGAAAAAGATAATGTCCTCGATATTCCGTCTAAATATGCCTCTCGAGGAGTTGAACTTGCGAGGACGAGGATTGGGGGTGCGGTGCCCGACTGAGCCACGCGGGCAAAGAGAATGCCGCAGCCCGATTGCATACAAAAAGGCGAGGGCGACAGCGGCACGCAAAATGCACGCGTGCCCCAACCCCCCGGGCACGATTACCGCGTTACAGCGGCACCGGTGCCCAAAGTAGCGGCACATGTGCCAAAAATTTGCTGAGTATTTGATGCCTACCTCTGATAGAATCCCAGCATGGCTAGGCCTTTCGGTTTTTTGGTTATTTCCGACGTATTTTTTTCCCAATTTTCTGGTAATTTCTGTCTTGTCGGTTTTTAGAAAAACACGCCAACTGAACTGAAATATCCGATTTTCTGAATTTCCGAGTTTCCGAGTTTCTTCATAACAGAATACTATTTTTTGAATTTCTAAAGTCTCGAATTTCTAACCAAATTTCACTAATTTTCGAATATCTGCATTTTCCGAGTTTTTTCAAATTTTCGGGATTTCTTAATTTCGGAAACTTCATACATCATTTTATCTAACAAGGAAAGTGTTTTCAGAGGGGCGTTGAGAATTTGTTAAAAATTTCAGTACTGATAGTTTGAATTATCCGCAACACGATGACAAAAAAATCTAGGTCATAGTATCATCAACAAGCTGAATATCTTCGTCTGAATTTTTTCGGTCGATTTCGCCCTCTCCTTCTCTTCACTACGCCCCTCTCTCCTATACGCCCTCCGCGCCAGGGAAAAACATCGATTGTGTGGTGTTGTGGTAAGAGGGAGACTCATTAGGAGTGACTATGGTGGTTCGAACCCCACTGTGGTAATTCTTTTTTTTTGTTTTTTTCGAGACGAATTTTCGATATCCATTTTGGTCCCCTGAATAACAAATTATACTTATTTCATGAATTCCCGACGTTTTCAAAGTGAAAAAGAAGGCGTTTGAAATTTTGAAGAAATTTTTGAAATATTGTTTTTTTCGACTTGTCCTATCGCCCAAAAGCAAAACTTTCGACTCTCGGAATTGCTCCGTCTTGCTCTTTTTTGAGTGGAACACCACCAAATCGATCACCCAAATGATCTTTACATATTTCTGTGTATTCCGTGTGATTTCGAGCAATATTTGAGAAATTACAGTTTTTCAAATTTCTTGCAATTATCAGATTTAGGAAATTATCAGGGCTCACATACAAAATCGAGCTGCCAAATATTGTGAAAATGATGTTCCTATCATTTCTGAATGTTTGAAAGATTTTTTTGCACTTTCAAAAAAATTTCCAAAAAATTACTTTTGAAGTGTGGGGTACCCCATGATGATTTTTTTCAAAAAAAAAATCGAAAAAATTTTTTTTTTTAAATTGTTCAAAAACTATTTCAGATGATAGAGAAATGATGAAAAAAGAGTTTCCCGCTTGAAAAAATCCTGGAAAACGAGTTTTAAAGCTCGAAAAATGCACGTTTTTGGTCAAAATTTAGTACTGAAAACACTTTGAGAGTCCATATTTTGGTTCCTATTAGGGTTATGACCGATATTCTGAAATCGTATTCAGCGTGTTCGAAAGTACCTTTGTACAAATTTTGAGCAAATTCTCAACGCCCCTCTGAAAACACTTCCCTTGTAAGCCTTCGATTCTAGATTACACTGAAAACATAGGGAAGTGGTTGCAATCCCTGTATTCTTTTAGAGAAAACTGAAATTTGAAAAAGTTCAAGCAATTTTTGGAATTTTTTGAATTTTCTCGAATTTCCAGGATTATTCAAAAGTTTTCTGGAGCTTTGTAGAACGTTTTAGAACCTTCTAGAATGATTTGGAATTTCCTGGAGGTTTCTTGAAATTTTCTTTAATGGAATTTTCGGGAAGTTTTCGGAATTTCCTAGAATGTTCTAGAATGTTTTGGAGTTTTCTAGAATATTCTGTAAACTTCTGGAACTTTCTAGAACATTTTTGATTGTTTCTGAATGTTGTTGAACTTTCATTAATTCTCCGGATTATTCTAGAATGTTCTGGAACTTCTGGAATTTTCTAGATTCCCCTCTTTCCAAAATTTGAGTGCTCGAGTTTCCGATATTTCCGGATTCCGAAAGTTCGAGAATTTTTTAGTTTTGAATAAAACACTTGAAGTGTAGGTTGAAAAAAAAAACCATGTTTTAAGTTTCTGAACCCTTCAATACTCGATTTACTGAATTTCCGATACTTCGAATTCCACAATTTCTGGTTTTCCGTATTTCTCACTTTCTGATATTTTCGAAAGTTCAAAAATTTTGAAAGTCAGGGAAATCTTTTAATTTCAACTTTTTGAAATTCATAAAACGGATTCAGAAATTTTTTAATTTGAAAATTTTTTTTTCTGAATATGGCATCAGAAAGTTACAGAAATATTTGAAAACATTGCTTCCGAAATTGAATTGATTTACGAAAAAAACTTAAATTTCAGAAAATTTTAATTTTGGAGATTTGAGCTCAATTTTTTGTAGGACGCACATAAATACGCCCAAAATACTTTTTGCAAAATTGAAGTTTTAGTGAGTTTCAGCATTATTTTGAATAATTTCGATTCTTAACACTATGGGTAGCCTATAAGCTTGAAGGCCAAGGACACCATGGGCATGAAGCGCTCGGTAGTAGAGTAACGTGTCGACACGAAAATCGATACGATTCGAGATCGATACGAGAAAACCGATACGACTCAATTTTAAATTTTCTTCTCGCATTTTCTAACTTTTTTTCTAAATAAAACGAAAAAAAAAACAGTTCAATATCTTAAATAAATTACTGTTCAATAGAGCGCGTTGAAAATGAAATGTCGTGTCGTGTCGACACGAGTCGATACAGTATCGACACGAATCGACACGACAAGCGAGTCGACTCTGTGTCGATTTGCGTCGATACAATTTTTCAGATATTTTTCGCTTGTGTCGATACGACTCTGTGACGACACGTTACTCTACTCGGTAGTCCATGACTACATCCCACACACCACTGTAGAAGTCCCATGTCCCTTTGAGTTATTCAAGTAAATGTCCGAGAGAGACGGACACACACACGCACAGAAAAGTTTCCTTAGTAAGAAGTACATGTATCCATAATTGATAGAGATGTTACTCACGTTTCAGATTTTCAGAGCTACATATAAGAATAATTACAAAGTGAAAAAATAAAGAAAAAATAAAGTCAGTCCCCCCCCCCCTTACTTTGAGCCCATATATCTCATTTTCTGAATAAGATATCAAAAAGTGGTCGACTGATAAAATGTTGATCATATTATAATCAATATTTTGTCAGTTGACTACTTTTTGGTATCTTTAACAGGAACCGAGATAAGCTGGTTCAAAATTAATGGTTTCGGAGGGTTTACGGTATGGTATTTTTACTTGGTCAAAATTCTTCGTTTGAAAATCAAAATTTCAAAAATAATTCAAAAATCCCCATTCCTCACCTCCTTCCCATCTCTCATAACTTGACAAGACGTTGGCATCAGCGTCTGAAATGCCCGAACCACTTCAACTCCTTTTTTCTCCTCGAAAAATGAAACGACACACATCAAAAAGACAATTCCTACGATGAAAATTCCGACGTACAGATTGACAGGGTCCCTGGGAATTTAAATTTTTATTTTTTTAATTTCGAATTTTAAAAAAAACTTACGATGGATCGTAAATATAGGTGACAAAGCAAAGAGCAGCTGCACCAAACATCAGGAGCCAGAGAAGATTTCTGAGATTTTAGGGTTACTGTAAGAGATATCAAAATGTGATTGATAAAATGTTTATCAGGATATACGTAATATTTTATCAGTTGACAGTTTTTTGATATCTCTTACAGTAACCCAGATAATTAGGGTCAAAGTGTAAAGGGTCCATATTCTAGGTGCCGGGGGACTTTGACGACCCAACTTCAAATAAGTTTATCTGGGTTACTGTCACAGATATTAAAAAATTGTTAACTGGTAAAATGTTTATCAGAATATCACAAAAATTTTATCAGTTGACAACTTTTTGATATCTTTCAGAGGAACCGAGATATGCGCCTTTAATCTACAGTAAACCCACTTGAATTGTCTGAAAAAGAGCTCCCAATTACTGATGGATTTTGGTGGTGGAATTGCATTTGGACCGTCTGTTTTCAGCTTTTCAGCAGCTTCTAGTTCACTGAGACCCTTGGATTTTTTGGGTTCGGAAATATCGATTTTTGAGAAGAAAAACTTGTCGCAAAGTTTGGTTATGTCCAGCTGGTGCTCGATAAATGATCTGGAAAAAAGATTTTTTGAGATTCTCGAAAGTGTGGAAAATTCGAAAACTCCAAAAAAATCTGAAAAAAAACTTTCAAGAAAACCCTAAAAAATGATTCTGAAAAACCCAGAATTTTGAAAATGTCAAAATTCAAAACTGCATTGAAAAATAATTTCCGTTTCACCAAAAATTCGAAAAATGTTCAATTTTTTCAAAAATTGATTTACACTCTTTCAATAATCGAAGTTCTCAAAAAAACTTATATTTCAACTGAACTGAACAATCTGAAAATATGGGAAATTCTGAAAATCTAAGACAAAGTCTAGGAAAAAGTTGAGATTCTAAAAATCTAAAAATCTAAAAATCTTTTTTAAAATCTTAAATTCGGAAAACTTTTTTAAATTCTAGGACCCAGGACCCAGGACCCAGGACCCTTTAAAAAATTCCAAAAATTTTAAAACTCACGAGGACAAATCCTTATGAGTGGCATCACTCAAATTAGCATGATCTTGAACATCTTTCCGTGATTTTCGGAACTTTTTTAACACCCCGAAAAGAAATCCTGAAAAACATTTTCAGAAAAATTTCAGCAAAAATATAACTTACCCATTTTTATTCTCAAAAAAACTAGCAAAATAGAATCTCCAAATGTTTTTTCAAGGACTCATTTGCCTCTATATATTCCATTTTTTCTGATATCATACAAAATGTTTTAGACTCCGCCCACTTTTAGGCGGAAGGGTTTGTTACGTTGTTGGTCTCTCGGGGAGTCCAAAAAAGGAGAAAAGAGAGAGGGGAAATGAGGCAAACAAAAAACAGATAATTGGAATTATTGGATTCTTGAGAATCTTTATTCTAATTTTTCAAACTTCGTAAATTCCCAGGATCTCATATTTCTAAAGTTCTGGAATATTCGAAAATTCTATATGTTTTGGATTGTAACATCCTCAAGTTTCAATAAATTTTAGGTTCGTATTGGGATTTTCTCAGATTGACATTTTTTCCAGATGTTTCAGAAATTTCCGGTTTTCTTTTCGGAATTTTCAGACGTTGCCAGCCAAATTCAATTTTCGAGAAATTTTTTGGTTTTTTAAATTCTCGATGAAACTGGAATTATTTTTTTTTATTCCAAATTTCTTAGCATTTTTAAAAATTTCAGAATTTTAAATTTATCGGAATTTCAGGATTTTCCGAACTTTCGAAATTTTAGAAATTTTTTAAAAATGCTCAACTTTTTTTCTTGATTTTTGCTTTTTTTTTGATTCTTTGAATTTTGAACAATTTTAGACTTTTTTGCATTTTGAGTTTCAAAATTTTATCGAGAACACTTTTCGAAAAAATTGAAAATTTTTTGGATTTTCGATGAAACTGTAAATTTTTTTGGAATTTTGAATGATTTCCGAAATTGATAAAATTCTCATTTTCAAAGTTTTGAAACTATGGAAAAGTATTGCTTTTTGGAAATGTTCAATCGTTTTTTTTTTCATTGGTTTTTTTTTTTGTATTTTAGAAACAGTAATTTTGACCAAAATTTATAATTTCAATGAAAAATAGTCAAATTTATAGTCCTACAAAAGTGGTCCAAAATTTTTCAATTCGTCTGAAAATCAGAGAATATACTAAACAAAAATAGAGCTTCAATATTGTAGTTGACAACATTTTTGCCAAATTCCATTCTGATGAGATATGCCCAAACTTTGGCCCACGGTCCAAGAGTACATCGAAAAAGGGTACATCGAGGGTACATCGAGTTCTTAGGGTACATTGGTTCTGAGGGTACATGGGATCTTAGACTGTAAGGCGTTTTAGCCTAAGCCTATAATTTTGAGCAGAAATCAAAATAGTATGTATAAAAATATTGATTGACTTTTTTTGTC